AAAATTGCATTTTCTTTACGTAATTTTATTTAGTAAAATAAACATATTTTGTTGAAGATTCTAGGAAATAAACTTTATTAGATTATTATGAAACAAGATGACCATAATACGCAACTTATTTTTAATAGTGCCAAACACCCTATGACGTGCTCAAGCAACACTGACGGGCTGAGTAATGTAATGAGTAATATAACAGCAATATTGTCGACTTACAGCCAGTTGCACAAATATCCATTAAAAATGACGTTAATTTAAAGCGACATTACCGATACAAATTTGACGTTCAATAGAGCTTAATGGATAACTAACATTAATGCTAAGATGGTTGTCTGAATAATGCCTGTATAACTGTCTAGTAAAGTCATATGTCTGTATAATTAAAATAAATAATTAATTAAACAGATTCTTATCAAGATGTGTGCTTAAAAAATTTTAAGCAAATATTTTAACTATAGTCATTTATGTGAACGTACAATAATTGTATCACTTTTTAATGAAGTTGGTAATTTAAAATTATCGCTATCTCAAACGGGGATTAAAGTTCCGATTTTGGCAAACGCTAAAGCAAGTAACAATTTGAGATGAATAATTTAGAAATGACCTCAAGAAACTTCCAACGGAAACAATATAAATTAAGCTTACTTCGAGAAACAATCACAAAAACGAATCACTTAGACAACATTACAATAATACTTCGCAATGAGATGGCGGTAGGTTCCGTAGCGATGGAAAATTTTCTAATTTTAAAACCCCTTACAATTTCACATTTGAAAGATATTCACGAACTTCATGCTACAAAATTGAAATGTGATAGTAATAGCGATCGAGAAATTTAAATCCGATATCATTAATATGACGTTGATTTTAATTGTCTTAGCTAAGCGATGAAGTTAGAATGCAATCGAGAAATATCGAATTGAAGAGTTTAACACTAACTGCAATTTGTGGACGGATTTCACAAAGATTTCAATATGTTTCGTGATCATGAAAATTATAGTTCGCTCCAAAAGCGAATGCTACTTTAAAAGTAACATAATTCCATTAATGGCTATCACAATCAAAATAAAATATACAAAGTCACACTGAAGCTAATATATTTTTATAGAATATATCGCTCTTACCTTCCTTTGTGCCTGATGCACAGCTCCTCTTTTCCTCTTTTATTGCCTTCCTAAATGCATAAGCATTTCCAATAACAATAGGCAAACCTCAAAACTATACCTACATTTGAAAGAGATTGCAACAGATTTTAAAATTAGGCTTTTGAATGTTTTGTTCTATACATCTTCACCGGTTTGACTGGTAGAGAATGCCTTTATTGAGTTGCGATTAAGTTCACCATTTGCTATATTATAGGCAGTAATGATTAAAAAAATAAATAAATTAGCTTACAGGTCTTCAAAAAATTGTAAATACTAACTATAGAAACTGATAGTCACCGTCTGAGCACTACTTAAATGAGTTTAAATGTTCTGTGTGTTGATTTACGTCAATCTTGTTGAGACATCTATCTATCTATATAAGAAATGTATCATTAAACAATGAACCTATAATTAACACCGCGTCACATATGTACGCAACGCCGCACATGACGCTACACATCTTTACCGTAAGCAGACCTCAGTTAGTGGGGAAGTTCTATACGAAGCGCGGTCGGTACAAAGTCCATAATGTGCAGCCGCTAGTTGCAAAGGACTAAAATAAATAATTTTTAACTTTGCATTTGCTTTTAACTATTGTAGTAAAGTGTATTTAACTATTTGTAGTCAACAGTATTGGTTTCACAATCGTAATTACTGTATTATTACTTGAAAAAAAAATCAGAAATATGCTTAGTCGTTACTTTTACATAACGTAACTTCAAATTTTTAACTTTGACTTTAATATTGTAAAGATTGAAGTTAGGCTTTCCTATAGTAAAATAATCGATCTTGTGAATCAATTCGAATCGGTGCCTTTAAGATCGATTCGAGATAAATAGTTGACATAAAGATCGATTATCAAAAATCGTTATATTCTCCAAATGTCGTACAAAAACCTATTTAAATAAATTAATGGGGTAATATCGAATTTCCATATGAAGAAAACTGTTAACTGATAATAACTTATGTTATGATTCCCGTTTTTCCTGAGTTAATGAGACTCATTTTTTACAGACAGTATTCATACAAATAAATACTGTTTACAAACATTGAACTAAATACTTATTATCTAATTTACACAACGGCAACTATTTATATTTGATACTCCATATAATAACAAACAATATTTATAGTCTTTATTATGTACTCTTTAAGTAATACTAGTAATGTTCAATATGTATTACATATAACAATCAGGCGTTTGAAATATATAACTAATTGTTATATTCAACTAAGGTATAAGTAGCTCGGTGGCGTAGAGGATAAGCGCCATGGCCCGTGATTGTTGTTGTTAAGCAACTTTTGCAAGGGTCGGTTATTGGATAGGTGACTAAAATAATTATTGTCCCAAGCTACTTCGTGCTTCGGAAGGCACGTTTCCGCGTACACTTACTACAAAGCCAGTTCTTGAAATGCGCGTAACTATAGTTACGACTCTAGCCATAACATTGTTATATTCAATGTATCAATGATGAAGAATGTAAAATGAAGAATGAAAGCATGTAAGGTGATACGAAACATAATGAAATAGAGGGAAGTGTGTGAGTGAAAGGAAAGATGGGATTCTTTTATAAGTGGTTTCGAATTCTTTATAATATTAGTGGTTAAAGTATGAAACTGCCGTTTTATTGTAATAGGTCCCTTGAATTGACATAGACTCTTCATGGTTTGAGGTTTTCGAAAGAAACTTTTTCCACATGGTTTCTATGATTTTTTTCTTTTAAAAATGTGAAACATTTGGGTATCGACTTTCAATGTTTTTGTTATTCAACTTAGACAAGAAAGATGGATACTGCGAAAATTCGAGTGAATTTTGAATACGAGTTCCGACGCGGAAGTAACGCGGCAGAAACAGCCCGCAATATCAATGTTGCGTTTGGAGAGGGGTTTGCTAATGAACGCACAGTGTGATTTTGGTTTAAACGCTTTCGTGATGGAAACTTCGACTTGAAGAACGAGCCACGAGGAAGAGCGCCCATACAGGTGAATAACGATGAATTAAGAGAGATGGTGGAAGACGATCCTAATCAAACTACCCAGGAATAAGCGGCATGGTTTAATGTTACCTTACCCACAATATTAACTGATTTGCGTCAAATCAATAAAATAAAAAATAAAAAAAAAACAAAAATGGGTGCCTCATGATTTGACTGATCTGCAGGAAGACCCGCGTGTTGAAACTTGTGTTACCTTGTTGAATCGGTACGGAAATGAAGAAATATTGAATCAAATTATGACATGTAATGAAAAGTGGATTCTTTATGATAACCGTAAAAGAAAGATGCAAAGGTGGACCCCAACGCCACAACAGTGTCCTAAAGCAAAACATACCAGTAAAAAGATAATGGTAACTGTTTGGTGGTCTCAGAATGGTGTTATTCACTATAGTTTTGTCCGATTTGGTCGAGCAAGAACGGCAGTTGTTTAGTGTGCTGAACTCCGAACAATGTTGGCAAAACTAGCAGTAAAATAGCCCGGACTCATGGATAGATCTTCACCATTATTGCTCCATGACAACGCGAGACCTCATACAGCACGAGAAACCGTTTTGACCCTTCAGGAACTGTAGCTGGGAACTATTCATCATCCTCCGTATTCAGCAGACCTTACTCCAACGGACTACCATTTTTTTTTCGTGATTTAGACAATTATCTATGTGACAAGAAGTTTTCTTCCCAGGAGGCAGTACAAAATGCTTTCACACAGTTTGTGCAGTCTAGATCCTCAGAGTTCTATCGCAAAGGTGTATATGACCTTCCTATTAGATGGCAGAAATGTATAGATAATAATGGTAACTATTTTTATCAAATAAATCGGTAAAAAAATTAAAAATAAACAATTTTGACTTTTCAGTACAAATTGGCAATTTCATACTGCAACCCCTATTATTAATAAAGACAGATACGAAGTTCAAAAGACATATGGAATATGTCGATTAAAGATTCCAATTTGAGTATTCCTTTGTATATATATGGAATACTCAAATTAATAATATAACTGTAAGCTCATTAAGTCGAAATTATTAGCATTTCCCTTGAAGCGATATATTAAGTTTCCGTTCCGCTGTACACAACTACACAATTTCAGTTTTGTTTGATTTGGCCCTCGATTATATTAGTCGATTATTGACATTTCTTATACAACGCTGTATGTATTTATATAAAAAAGTTATTCTTAGAAATGTTTAATGAATAAAAATATAGAACTCCACAAATCCTGAGGGCATTTAAGTTCCTTCTTTAAAATTAATTTTCGAAACATCGTCATGATATACCCTATACATATTATATATATGGTATAATACCCTATAGGTAAATTATGGGAAATAAATAAGTAAAGACACGGTTATATCTAATCTGTTCTGCCCCCCGTCACTCTACGAGCGGTGTTCATACATTTTGACGACACGTGGGACGGCAGTAATACAATCTAAATATATGTAACGAACAGGCGCGGCGACATGCGTGGTGGGAAAAGGCGGGTTAGATATAACAGACACGCGCGGCGACACGCATGATGGGATAAGGCGGCTTAGACATAACAGACAACCCGATATATCGATTTAAAAAGTATAGAGCCACTATAATAAGCAAGTAGCTAGGTATAATTGTACATAAGAAATTCATATACAGCGTTGAATATAAACAATTGAGATTTTCTGATCGTTTGACATTTTCAAATATTTCTTAAAAATATATAAATTCATTTTTTTATTTAACTAGCCTAGCTTATACCTAGTAATATTTTTTTAATAAATAACTAAGAACATCCATTATGAATTTTGATTCTAATAAAAAGTTATGGCATTTACAAGAATTGTTGCAAAATGTTTGCTTGTTTCTCTTGTACGAACTTTCCTCACGGAACCGAAGATTTCCCTCTGAAACAAAAAAATATTCTATAGTTTTTGGGTTGTTACTGAATACTTTGAAAGCTCATAAAAAAGATACTTTTTTTTTGTTACATTATAGTATCGAAAACTTTGGCTTATTGTGGTGTATAAACTATTTTGGCGAAAATTAGTACCATTCTCTTGTTTTTTTTATAAGTATACGACTCGATCTTTATGAGTATACGACTTGTGGAAATTCGCGAAAAAATGGGTATACGCCTCAAAATATTTTCATAAAAACGTTTCTCAATAGACTAATTGTCGATCTAAAAACTCAATGTATTTATTTCTTTAGTTTTGATATGACGTAACTGCCATAATTATTATGGAAAAAATATATATCGACTGGTTTTTACGTCAGTAAATGTGATCATATTTCTCCAATCCGCAATGGGCCAGCGTGGTGGGTTACGGTAATTGTAAAATTATGTTAAAAGTATTTGCTTATATTATTAATACTCAAGTATATTTGATTCCTCTCGTCTATAAATACGAGTGTAAGTATACGAGAGATTTTAAAAACTGCTATTTGATGTTTTACTTAAGTCATCTCAGGTATCTATAGATACCTGTTAATAATATGGAGTAATCTTCAATAAGCTACCCGAATTTACCCACTTCTCCTGCACGGGACACGGGTCATGAGGTGGGATTTACTCACCAAAACCCACCGATGTAACAGCCAAAACCTCTTACCGCACTGTACACCACCATTTCGACCCACCCCTTGGGTCCTATTACGAGTTGGGGGTATGACTCAAAGACACAGCCTTACTCCTAGACAGGACAAGTGACGTGCAATACCTGTCGCGTGAACTCACCTATCCTCTGTCTACGATAAAAGATAAGCTTTTGTACAGTCTTCCGTCCTAAACCGTCTATTGGGGGACCTCTGGGTTTTACCCTCATGGTTCAGTGGACTCCAGTCCGGTTACACCCCAGCTACGCGAGACCCTACCGTTACTTTCAATGCTAGTGAGCGCAACTTCATACCATATTATTATTAAAAACGAAGTCCAGTACAGTGCCCGGCTCGAAAGCAACCCTACGTAGTAAACGAAAATAGGTATTGAAGGAGGTGAAGTGTGAGAGGGAAGAAACTTAACTCGCATTTGCCAATTTTTTTGCATTTAATTTTTAAATTATACTCAAGTGTAATATTTCATTAAACAATACTATACATACGTAATAGATTTGTTACCCACCTATATAACACACACTCCTATTATATTCTCTTATTATTATTAAAATTTTAGTGATTTATAATGTACATTAACATTAAATCGATTCGAAACTAATGTTTTTTAACAAAAATGACTCTATAATAAAAATAGTGTAGTAAGAGACTGAACAAAAGTACGTTTCTGTTGTGGCATAGAATCAGCTGTTAATGAAAATATTCAATAATTACCTATTTAAGTACCATAAGCTTTTATCAGAATATCCAAAATAAATATAATTTGGCTAGATCAATCATCCTAACGACCGCAATTAATAAATGAGTCATGGTGTACACGAGTGTAAACAAAAAGAGCTATAAAAATTAATATCAGTCTGTTTTGTTATAAATCAGCCGATTTTATCCGCTATACGATATTTCATGGGCTTTCTGATGGACAGCTGCTTACGCGTACTTGTTTATTAAACAAACGAGAATATATTCGTAAACTTACGTGTGCTGGCCATCGGAGTGAGAAGCGGTCGGCGGGGGCCACTTGTGGAGATGCGCACGCCACATGATCTGCCCGAAGGTCATCCGGAACTGTCTCGACATGGAGCAATACAGTATGAAGTTGATGGCTCCATTCAACAGAGCCAACGCATCCATCAACTCTCCGAATAAATCGTAGCATCTCTTAAAGAAACAACGACCCAATAGCCCGCTAAGCAGCCCCAAAATCCCTTGCGGTAACTCCGTCACTAGGAACAGAAGGAGGACAGCAACCAGCATCTTCGTTGTTCTATTCGTCCTTCTGTCTGCTTTGCACTGTCTCTTTATTTGTTTGTTGCTTGTTGGACAAGCGTTGTACACACGAACCTTCTTCTGATGCTGGTTTGCGCTGTATACTTCTCTTATCAACCATAAACTTATCACTGTGAGTATGATGCAGGGGAGCAACTTAATTACTACTGCATGTACCCAAAAATTTATCTGGTATAATTGACCCTCTTGATCAGCGTCTACGTGGTACAAAATTATAGGCCCACTCGGTTCTAGGACTACTGTCGTGTGGATATCGAAGACCTGCGGACATAAAATGTATAATCGATTTCAAAGCTGTAATTAAAATATCCTAATATTATTACATTATGGAATTGTAAATAAAAGTCAGATGAACGCCGATAAACTTTCATATACAGACTATAACTGAATAAAAAAGTACTATGAGTAAAGTGAAGATAGTGTGAAAGATCGTATAGTCATAGAAAAAGAGAGAGAAACAGATTATTTGCAGGAAATCAGCCAAATATATAACGAAACATAAGAAACAGTTAAAGTGAGCAAATATAAATAGTCATTTCTTGCATGCAACCTCAGGGTAGCTACTATGCAAATTAGACTATCGTCATAAATAGATCAAATATACAAAAATACAATACTAAAATACTAAGGAGGCTTAAAATTACACTTAAAATTACATCACGACAACGTATACTAAGTATCCCATTACTTAAAGGTGGGCACTGCTTGCTTTGATAGACCAGTACACACTCTTCCCACGTATAGGCGCTCCAGACGAGCCATAGCAGTATGCTTACAACACAGTATCAACAAAGCACGCGCGTCACAGCCGAGCGACCAAAACGTCCATATGTGAGAACGCGTTTATACAGGCTATAGCTTTAACTTAAAAAATAAACAAAAATAATAAAAATATATATAGTACATGTTACAATTCTAGTATATGAACAGTTTCTTTATAGCAGGCATGAAAGTCAAAACAAGGTATTCCTTATAAAATGCAGTTGCTTGCGATTTAGGACAGTACAACTTTAGATTTGTACGACTCTTAGGTGGATGGAAAAGTTTGTTACTGCCAAATCTCGGCAAATGACATGGAATATTAAAGTTTAATTTTAGAAATAGATCGGGACAGTCAGCAGATCCCATCACAAGTCTTTTTAGAAACATTATATCTGGTATTTTTCTTCGCCATTCTAGTGTAGACATATGAAAATGTTTTAAACGATCCTCATATAGTTTAACTTTTTTCTTAAATTGCATGAAAATGTCAAGTGCCTCATAAATTTAATTTCATATGTTGCATATGTATTTTATAGGTAGGTTTTAGCTGTTATAGTGAATAGTGTTATGTTTTATGTAACAAATTTAATGCCAAGTGCATTTTTTGTAATATATTTTCGATACTTTATTCAAGTCTTCAAAGCGTAAATTTAAAAAATTAGTGCCTAAAAATTACTTTGTTAAATATTTATAAGTTAAAATATTTTCCAAATATATAACAGAAACCTGTATTTTCCCTTGTATGTTTTTTGGGGATAGGCACGCTTTTGTATGTTTTTTTTAGTTGGTTGCTCAGGGATATCGTCAAAAAATTATTTTGCTCCTTTCTAAATGATTATTTTAATCTTAATCTATTAAGCTGTAGCACCTCCACACGGAATTTAAAATATCTGCAATCTATCTAAAATGTTAAACTTCTAATAAAATCTTTATATCCTGTAAACTGTTCATGATCTCAATTTTATCTTTGAAATTCAATCATTTGGAAAGGGTGATATATCATATACCTTTTTTAAGACCCTGTAACAGAAGATCGTGTTTGATGGATCATTGAGGAATTGATGGCAACCATAAAAAATAATATATAAAAGTGAAGGATATTTTTCTAAGAATGTATAATGCTGAAGTTTAATACATTTATCTATTCAGCAAATATTTAAAGTGTTTCATAAATATTTTACCGTAGATGAGCACTAAATCCGGAAAGTTCTATTTTAGACGCCATTTATTTCAATTTTATAAAGTATGTGCCGAACCCGTTTTTAAAACCGTCAGTTATTTTAAATAGAATACCTATTTTTAATTAACCGACCATTAAAGTACTTATAACTACTAATAAAAAGACAAGGATGTAATAAATATTAGAAAAGTTAATGCTTATAAAAAAACCGGCCAAGTGAGAGTCGAACTCGCGTACCAAAAAATCCGTACCATTATCTATAAAAAAACGCACAAAACACGTTGTATGGGAGTCCCCTTAAATATAAATTTTATTCTGTTTTTCGACTGTCCAGTTACCACGGTTCATGAGATACAGCCTGATGAGTACTGATGAACGGACAGATGGACAAACAAACGGACAGCGGAACCACAGTAATTTTTTCTCAGGAAGTTTTTACCCTTTGAGTTCGAGACTGATTAAGACAGTGAACAAAACAATAGAGAGATAGTACTTGCACACACACTGACAGACAGGTTTGCTCTATTCCAGGGGTTGACAACCGGCAGCTTGTGAGCTACATGCAAGTATTTCGATGTTTCACACTGCCCGGCATGTAGTCACAGACATGAACCGCGTACCATGTCTGTAACGTATGACTACAGATATAAATACGTCCGTTTACAATATGCGAAAGCACGAGCTTGGCGCGTTCAACGTTTAGAGATATAAAACCTCATTTATTATACGCATTAATATTTTATGTGAGAAAGAATTTTCTATAATTAGAGAAAGACGTATTTATTTTAATATATCACGACAAGATTATAAATAAATAGCATGCATAGCATTCCAGTTTGTCAAACTGGAGGACGTTTTGTCTACATCCAAATGTCACAATGTCTCGGGTGCACCATACGATACCTTATTCTGGACCCGAGAAACGTGATGTTCAAGTGAAACAAATCTTTCCCGAGTTTATCATGCTACTACTTACCATAAAGGTAGGTATACACAGAATCGGTGGGAGTATGAAACTACTGAGAATAGCTGCGCTGCATCGCCTCTCGGTGCACAATATGTGATTGCGATCTGAGTATCTGAAACAAAAAGCCAAAATGTTACCTTAAATTCTTATTATCGATAATAATTAGACCATAGAGGCATTTATAGGAGTGCGCGACGTGATCCTTAAAATTATATAGGTACTCAAAATTATAAAATTTTTCCATTTGAATTTGATGGAACCACAATGCTTAAAGGATAGAGTTTAAAATCTATTGAAGAAATTTGACATATGTTGTGATAACCGGACGTACAGCCTAGTGTATAATAAATAGCGATTATATTCAGTCTGCCTCACTTCACCTTACATAGTTCGATTTTATATATTAGGTATGGGATGGATTATATGGATTTTATATATTTTTGGATGGATTTTATATATTAGGTATGGGATCTCACATTTTGAAATGGATGAAACTTGTACCGCCCTGCCCGTGGCGTCACGCAATGTGGACTAAATATAACCAACGCTCTACATAATATTCCTGTAGCGTATTTAACATTTTTCATTGCTGTTCCACTCCTACAAGTCAGAGCGAGATGTTATATAACTATAGCCTTCTCGATAAGTGGACTATTCAACACAAAAAATAAATCAATTTGTTCCAGATGTTCATATGATTTTAGAGTTCAAGCAAACAAACAAACAAGCCAACAAACAAACTCTCAGCTTTATTATAAGTATAGATATAGATAAATGTAGCAACAACAACAAATAAATATATCAAATAACATCACATTCGGCTACGAAGGTCGTTTACAAAACGGTTTTTGGTCTGTAATATATGATTTATAAAATGTTCTGGCCGCAAATTCCATTTGTGTATTTGAAGTAACCTTTTAGCTTAAAAGGCGTCGACGACAGCTTTGACAGCCTCTGTACATAAACGTTTTTATTACATGACAATTTCTATAAATTCTATATTTACTTAATTTACAACCAGTTTTACATTAAAATTGTCATTAGTTTAAAATAACATTAACAATACAAAGGACATCTTTTTTTGTATGGAGGCTGGTACTTTATTAAAATTATCTCTCACCAAGCATAAAGTATATATTAATCGATAGAGGGTAAATAAACCTTACACATGACCATTTTATTTTATTTTTAGGCGCTGCCAAAATGTTATTTTCTGATTTGAACATCATTTGGAGGATATTTTGTAATGTATGTATGTAGCAACACAAAAGTGCATTATAAACATCTATGGCAACCCTATCCCTAAATTACGTTCCAATTCATGCTGTGAATTAATCTATTTGGACAATGTGGAATCATTATATTTATTTTTTATTTTCGACATCTAAATGTCAAATACAGATATATTTTAAACGAATGGAAGCTCGTCGACGCAGATTAGGCCCGATTTGTTATTTGTGCGTAGCTTGTTATAATAAATATATAGTTAACAAATTATTAATTCGATTTTCACAATATTATTATATGATTCGTCCATTAGGGACATTAGGGAAGTTATAATAAGGCGCTTTGGGGTAATACCCAAAACAGGCAAATCCTGAAAGTGGCGAATTAACAACAAATTACGCATTTTGTGTCGGTTAAGTTGACTATTAAACAGGCTTTTACTAGGTAAAAAACTTTTAATTACAACAAACATATTATTTTTTGTTTAATATCATTATCAGAATTTCCCCTCTTTCGTAATTTCCCCAAAGTACCCTACCGAAGGCTAGGCAGCCTATGACTTTGTTTTAATTTGAAGCGTTTTCTTTTTCAAATTGAGTTTTATGGTTGTGCATATTAGTGTTTCTAGGCAAAACATACCAATTTTCTCAACTTAATTCTTTAAAACGGGAGAACTTTCAAGTCTGAAACTTTGATGAAAAATAGAGGATTGGGTCTAGGTGCTATGATAATTTTCTTTATAGTGGTTAGATTTTTTCGGAATAAAGTACCAAGAAAAAACATTTTCCTTTTAAAATTTATAACATTCAATTACATCTTAAAGTCGTCCTTAAATTTTATTGGATAATTGTGCAATTGGGTGTAAGTGTTTATTGTCTCTGTGTGTTAGAAGTATGAGTAAGTTATAGTTTCTGTAGATTATTATTACCTAATTGGTAATTTAAAAAAATACAGTCTACACTTGGACACAACACACTGGAAAGTCCAATTCCTACATAGAATTATGCGTGATTATTGGTTTGATTCTTGTGTCATATTTTGCTGTTGTAATGGTGTGTTCTAATAATTTCATTCATTCATTCAACTTTATTTTATTTCCTCCTAAAGAACAACCATGTTTAAAATCCATTTATCTATTCTTCCATTATAAAGAGGTAAGATTTGATTGTTTGTATGTTTATTTGTTTCCTTGCATCGAACAGGCTTCGAAACGATCATACCGATTTTAAAAATTCTTTAACTACGAGTAGCTACATGGAAAACAGCCAATCTACTTTATTTATAATCCGTCTTTTTAACCGACTTCAAAAAAGAAGGTGGTCATTAATTCGACTGTATTTTTTTCTGTTTGTTACCTCATAACTTTTTACTGGATGTACCGATTTTGATAATACTTTCTTAATTTGAAAGCCAGTGCTTGCAAATCCAGATCTAGCAATGGCATCTATGAAAAAACCATAAAAGTCTTAAGTTTGCATTAAGTATGCGTGACGTTTGTTAACCCAAAATTAGAAATATCATTAAAATGCATCAAATAAAAACTTTTTATAAATAAAATGGACCCGAATTCAAATTTTAAAAAGAGAAAAATAATACTTATCTTAAAATTGGTTATGTTTTTTTAATTGAAGTCCATCTCTTTAATAAAATGTTTTAATTACGTAGGTGTACCGAATTTCAAGTCAATTGTTACAGTAATTTGATACCCGTAACTTCTTAAGAAGCTCCTCAGTTTAATCTTACTTGTCGTACTAAATTTCTCTTAAGACTAATTCAACGTTAATTTTATATTACTTTGATGATACTCACAGTACACATAAGTACTTAATACGAGTAGTTCCACGAATTTAAATAACTATGAACGTGTCTTATACTAGTTACTCATTTCGGTTACTTTCATCAAAATGCAAAAATTTTCTGCCTGTCGGGTAGATTATTGAAGAATATTAAACAAGTTTATTTTTATTTTGCATTATCAATAAATAACAGCCATACATTGAGTTCAAATATCACGTGGTGTCACATCTTTGTACATTTTCTACATGGTTGTGACTAAGCCATTTATTTTTAAATTGAAGCAAAAAAAAGGTATCTAATATTTTCCAATTATTTAATTGACGGACCAAACAGTTTTTTTTTATAAACTTGTAAACTTTCACGTTGCATTATATTAGATTGTATAAGACGGGTATTAACGCGATAGATTTCGATAGTTAGGTTTTTCACCACTGCAATTCCAGTTTTTAATGATGAAATAAATTATCTTTAATGAAAAATGCTTAAAAGAGTCCGTTAACTCCAAACACCTCAAGATAGGTTGTGAACCCACAACTATTCGTAATCCGGGCGACTGCTTCAACCTTCGAGCTACCCGAGATCTAACAAGACTGAGTAATAGACTGACAAGACTGACTGCATAGTTAATGCGAAATTGATCAATTGAAACAAATTATGATAATTTATTCAAGTCTGTGCACTTGATAATAATTACTAGTTAACACCACGAGCTTCGTACCACCGGAATAGCACAAATGTAGTACTTTATCACCCTCAACCACAATTTGACTTTGCATTTACATAATTAAACTTATTACACTGAGCAACAGTGCTCTAAATACATCGTTTAACTTAGCATCGAATACAGTGCTCTCACAGCATCAATAGACTAGTTAACTACTTTTTAACTGGCTTTGAAAAGGAGGAGGTTCTTTATTTTATTAATAAATAGTTTATTATTAACTGAGAAATAAATACTGTAGAAGTAACAACATGTCTGCGATTAGTTTCGGAGATACGGTACTATGTTTGTGGAACTGCTTCTAGTCGGCCGAAAACGCTCCCTATAAAATCAAACTATAAAGAGACGTGATCCATACCTGCCCACTCATGCTATGGTATCGAAAAACATAAGAGCGTGTGTGCAGTATTTGTAATACCTTTGTTATTTATGCGTTTATGTTTATATTTGTGATTGTTGAACGATGTATGAAAATAAAGCCATTAAAGTATATGTGCTGCCATCTGTATAACGACATGTCAAATTGTAATGTGAACAACTGTCATATTTGAAATTAAAATTCATTCGTTACTTGTCACTGAAGAGCATAGTTTCATTTTAGTTATAATGAAATTTGTTATATTTGATATAACACATATAATGCCAATAGTTGCTAATGTATTTTAACAAATATTTGTCATATATTTTCCATATTTTTTTCAAGTTTTCAAAGCGTTATATTTTCCAAATTATTGCAATAAAATTAAATATTTATAACTTTAAATGGTTCATATTTTACAGACATAGCAGAAACCTATATTTTATTTTAGGAAATAACCCTATTTTTCAATCTAATTGAACCTTGTTCTCTGACAGTGTTGTTAACGATGCGTTGGATGATATATTTGTAAAAGAAATCGAATCCTATCTTCTAGTACTCGCCACAACAATGTTGATGTAGAGATTACTGCATACACAGAAAACAGAAAGACGTTAGAAGGGCCTTGTGGGCGTGGCAGTGTAGTCACGATCCTGGACAAATGTACAGCGATCGCGATGTATAGTCATTCACGAACGCGCGCGCTGTAAGTACTGTGAAACACGCCACTAAAAGTGTTAAAAATGCCGACTTGCGCAGTTATTAATTGCAAACAAGAAGCCCGTCCTCAAGTAGGTCCAAAGGAAGGATTTCTTTCCATTTGTAAGTAGAACACTTCTCAAATTTAGTATTTTAGTCGAAATTCGTTATTCGTCGTTAAATGTTATCAAAAGTGTGAATCACAAAAAATATTTCCAAGAAAATATACATTGCTGGAGAAGTACGCATATTTATTACATTGCGTGGTACTAAGCACGTAATGTAAAAACATCGCGAAATCACCGTTTTA